TGTTGTTGTTATCAATAATAATAATATACAAAAATCCAAGAAAAAATAAAACACTATCAGAAAAAAATTTCATTTCTCAAGATATATAATATGGAGCACTGAAAGACAAAACCAACACCTCAGCTCGTTCTACACCATCTGCTGTGATGTCCCAAAGCCCTCTGCTAACTAGACATTCATTAGGGTGATTAAATGTGTTAACATGCCCAGAGGACTGCTGTGGAGAATTTTCCAGAGAATACAAGTGAAAGCCACTTGTCTCATCACAGCCAGCTTAAACTAAACTTTGGAATATTAATGCACTGTCTCCGTTGCTATGGAAATGAATGTAACATCAATACAAATTAACACCAGCCATAAAATACAAACTAAACTGATTTAAATCCCTTGACTGTAAATAAGGAACTTTAAAGATGCTTTAGACAAGACATATATTTTGATCAAAATTCTGGGCTGGTAGTTCTAGCCCAATACTGATATTTAAAAATTACCCCAAATACAACACTTATAATACACAAAATCACGACAGAATAGACAAGTCTAATCATGCTATGAATTAGTGGACTTTTATAACAAGACTCAACAACCCAGAAAAGAAAAATCATTTGTTTCAAGTGGAAGGTTTACCCGGCCTGGTTTATCCTATGGTCTAGGACATAGACCCAGATTTTAAAGAAATTAATCAACCATAATATAAGCAAAATAATATTAAATCACTGTGCCAATTTTTTTCTACTACACTAGAAAATGCAGACTGTTCAGTTTGGTTCTGTTAAAAGAAGTTAATTTAAACAGCTTTTAAAATAACAAAAACATAGATATAATCCAGGAACTAAATTTAGGTTCGTATATACAACCCAGTGTTGTGATTACAACTCTCCAAAGACTGATTTTATAACACGCTCCAAAGTGTCTGTATCCAATAAATCTTACTCTAGTTTTCCTGAGAGCAGTTGTTACGGAGACCCAGCCCAGTGATGTCATTCTAGCTAACCACTTTAAAACCTGTGGCATATTTCTGTCAAATATGCTTAACTGTAGCAAATTTTAAATTTGAGAATGGATGTGATGTATGGGAAGAAATCACTGTCACTGAGAACTACACCTGGCAAGTAGACTAAGCGAAATAAACTTCTTTTGGTTAAAAAAAAAGAGGGGATTGACTACAAGGTTTTTCCTAAGGTTAAGTTTTCCTAAAAACTATAAAACCAAATTTGAAATGGGAATTCCAAACATGTGGGGCAGCAACATTATCTACATAATAAGAGTATGTTCATCTGCCATGTTCTCTACCAGGTGTTTCCTTCTCCAATTTTTAAACGATAACTGAATAATGGACCATACTGGCACCTCATATATATTACCTCATTGAATCCATGTAACATTACTAGACGATTATCACCATTTCAAAGTGAAGACACTGAGCCTGAGTGCTTTCAGTAACTTGCCCAGTTCACACAGGTAATAAGGAGAGACCAGCAATTACTTCATAATCGCAATACACACACACGCACATCCCCCGTCACCTACACATCATATCTGACTTTTTGAGGTTTTTGACCTCTACCTTCTGACTCTCCCAATTAATCTCTTCCTATGACAGCAGCTACTTACGTATATTTTTGCATCTGCCCTACTGTGTTGCAGTCGTTCACTTATCAACATTCCCTACTCAATGATGAGCTTCCAGAGAGAACGGCTCACACCTTGCTCATCTCTGTAATCCCAGAACACAGTCCTGTATTTAGCACATCTGCATGCATTTCTTGTTAGTACTTAACAGCGGTTCTGATGTTGATTCTGCTAGCTGCTCACGGGTGGTGAACATTACAGAACCAGCTTCAAGATACCTGCCAACCACTACCTCAAGGAGGGCAGATGCAGGCAGAAAGGAGATTCAACATGATCAGCTTGAATCTGTAGGGCTGTTCTTACCATAGCATTTAGACACTACATTATGTGGTATATAGGGTTTTTCTTTTTCACGTTTAATAAAGCTGCACCTGCACTCACATTAGTCCACCTCCAGTAGTTCACTGCACAAAACGAAATTACAGGACAGCACGACACGCAGAGTGCATGCAAGAATGAAGGAAAAATATACAATGTAAACCATCAACAGCAGACCGTTAAGATTTTGCCAAAAAGCTACCTTTTCATTACAACATGACTCCAGAGTCCAGAGGGGCAAGACCACACAATTCATATGCTTTCCCACACAGGAAACTAACAGGGTTGGTTATTCATGATATTTGGAGACTGGTACGGTATAATTACAAAATGACACAGGTTAATACTTAAGGAGACATCAAGTCTCTCAAAACAAAAAGGAATATTTACAAGATTAAGTTTCTGTTTTGTTATTAAAGTCCTGGAACTTCAAGGAACATATAAAAATACAGATGACTTAGTACTCAGATTAGTTAACAGAATTACTGATACTTTTTATTCTTTTAGGGGACCTTTTACCTACTAAATCTTAGAGTCTGCGGTTTGTGGTTTCCGTTTTCTGTCTAGTTATAGAAATTGATTGCGAGCCCTTTTGTGGTATTTATCTTTCTCTTCTCATCCTCCACCCGCCCCTACCCCCAAACCTGCTTTGGATGTCTGTCTTCTTTAATTTTTCAAGACAAGGCAGTGAAGTGAAATGGCATGAACTCTTGAATAAAGAGTTAAAAATGTTAAAATCATATGACTCTCCTCTCTTTAAAGTAATATTAGTCTTCTAGAATACCAATCTAATTCTTAGAAGCAGAAAACACAGGAAGCTCAATGTTCCAAGAAAAGTTAATAATAATCGATTCATCCTGGCTACCCAGGAAATACACAGCAAGGACCTGTGTTCTATGCAAATACAGACAACAAATGCATCTAGTAATACCTGCCACCCAGGGACAAGGAAAATAGAAAAAGAGCTCACGGAGCAAATGCACAAAAGGTACAGATAGAAAACAGCATAAATGTAGGGCTGAGCAGGAATCAGAGCTCGATGAAAGCCGTGACAGATCAGTGAGCTCTACAGACAGAAGCAGACGGAGGTGGTGGAGGAGAGGTCGTCACCGACGGGAGGTGACAGAAGTGAGCAGAGGCGAGGAGGAACCAGGCAGGGGTGAGAGGACAGGAACTAAATTACAAGAGGGGACAAGAAAGAACGGCGGGGCCAGCGCGGAAGGAGGCATGCCCAAGGGACAGACAGCATTTTTTTTTTTTTTTTCCGGTACGCGGGCCTCTCACTGTTATGGCCTCTCCCGTTGCGGAGCACAGGCTCCGGACGCGCAGGCTCAGCGGCCATGGCTCACGGGCCTAGCTTCTCCGCGGCACGTGGGATCTTCCCGGACCGGGACACAAACCCGTGTCCCCTGCATCGGCAGGTGGACTCTCAACCACTGCGCCACCAGGGAAGCCCCAGACAGCATTTTTAATGGGAGACTGAGTCATAGAAAAAGGAAGGAAGGAGGCAAAATGCAAAGATACCAAACAAGAAATTCTGGACAAATGAGGAAAAATGTAAAAGTGAGACCAGGTGATAAATAGGTAGGGTAGAAAGGCAAAAAAAAGGATAAAGTAAAAGAAACCTCTGGGAAAGGAAATATTAAAAAAAGACAAATGGTTTCTGGAATTTCACTATATTAAATTAAAATTTTAAACCTGTTCTTTTGTTTCTGTTTCTCGCTGCTGGGTAAAACTTGATTGAGAACAATGGTTTCCACAATCTCCAGAGGAGAAAAGTATTGATGAGGTCAACTGACTTAGTAGCAAAACTAAGAGCTGAAAACAATAAAATTTACTTATGTCAGTTAACCATCTTAGCTCTAACCCACAAACTAATTTTCTTTCTTTCTTTTTTTTCTGTCAACTTGTTTCATCCATACCTATTTCCTCCCTCCTGTATTATTATTATTTTTTAACATCTTTACTGGAGTATAATTGCTTTACACTGGTGTGTTAGTTTCTGCTTTATAACAAAGTGAATCAGTTATACATATACATATATCCCCATATCCCCTCCCTCTTGCGTCTCCCTCCCACCCTCCCTATCCCACCCCTCTAGGTGGTCACAAAGCACGAGCTGATCTCCCTGTGCGATGTGGCTGCTTCCCACTAGCTATCTATTTTACGTTTGGTAGTGGATATAGGTCCATACCACTCTCTCACTTCATCCCAGCTTACCCTTCCCCCTCCCCGTGTCCTCAAGTCCATTCTCTACATCTGTGTCTTTATTCCTGTCCTGTCCCTAGGTTCTTCATAACCATTTTTTTTTTTTAGATTCCATATATATGTGTTAGCATACGGTATTTGTTTTTCTCTTTCTGACTTACTTCACTCTGTATGACAGACTTTAGGTCCATCCACCTCACTACAAATAACTCAATTTTGTTTCTTTTATGGCTGAGTAATATTCCATTGTATATATGTGCCACATCTTCTTTATCCATTCATCTGTCAATGGATACTTAGGTTGCTTCCATGTCCTGGCTATTGTAAATGGAGCTGCAATGAACATTGTGGTACATGACTCTTTGAATTATGGTTTTCTCAGGGTATATGCCCAGTAGTGGGATTGCTGGGTCATATGGTAGTTCTATTTTTAGTTTTTTAAGGAACCTCCATACTGTTCTCCATAGTGGCTGTATCAATTTACATTTCCACCAACAGTACAAGAGGGTTCCCTTTTCTCCACACCCTCTCCAGCATTTATTGCTCCACAAACTAATTTTCACACTGACACATACACATCAATGACCTTAGTGACCAACTGCTTCATTTACTAATCACAAAAGCTTTCTCTCTCTCTCACTTTTTCTCTCTCTGTGCTTATCAGTATTTGGAGAAATCCCTGCTTCTTACTACTGCCCTAAAAAAGAAAGGGCAGAGTAAGAAGGTGACATTTACATCAATACTGCTTAAAAAAAAAAAAAAAAGTATGATGGAAGCTTAACACAAGGTTAAAACAAAAACAGTGAAAAGATGCAAATTTCCTATAAATTTCTACGACCCACCTTATTCTGGACTCCTACATAACTGAAAACAGAACACAGAGATCATCCTTCATTTCCATCTAGAAACAATAGAAGAAAACAAAACACTTAACAAGAACATAAAAACAATAAGGAAGAGCTATTCTGAAAAAGAAGGGAAATTATTCTACTCTTAATCCTAGGAAATAACCAAGGGTAGAAGAGCTACCATACCAAAGGTCTATTTATGAAGCTGTAATTCGTATAACTCTTATTTTTAAGCTGAAAAAATATAGTCATCAGATTTTCAGTCCAAAAAACTGTGCAAGGAAAAAAGCAGGCGCACACAGAGGCTGAGAGGAAGATAAAGGAAGATGAACCTAACACCGCAAAGCTTTGAACGATCACCGAGAAGCAGCAGTTTCTCAACATCCTGCACCTTGAGGAATTCTTCAGTGAAAGTCAGTTTCTGAGGGCCAACATCCTATTATAAGCTCCCATTCCTCCTATTGTATCTACCGTTTCTCTATCCACACAGATTGAAACTCTGATCGTAAGCAGATTACCAGCTTTAGCAGCAGGGGAAAAATAACTCAAATATTATACACAAAAGCAATGGGGTAACAAAGACAATGTAAGAAACATGTAAAGAAATATGCTACAGTCTTGTTGCTCATATTTGCAGAACTATCTTCTTTCAGCTGCTCAAAAATCCTAAATGGCATTGGGCCAATTCTTGAAATTTGCCTTTTCTTCAGTTTTTTTTTTTTTTTTTTTTTTTAAACCATTCTTCCATGAATATCGTAACGGGTCACTTGGCCATACAGTCCATTCACAGGCATCTGACATGATTATTTACTTCTGGAAACAGCTGCTGAATTCCAAGGCACTGTGACACTTCTTGAAGGAACAAACCTGGTTCTCTGGTCTCTACTGAGGACACGGTGAAACTAGGATTCTCTGAACTCAGCGATGACACGGAAGCCAAGCTGTGCTGTTTCCAAGGTAAGATGCCTTGAAAAAAAAAAAGCTAAAAATGAATCAGATTTTAAAAACAAAAAAACTCTAATAAAGTAGTGAAAATTCTCACACAGTGTTACATTTTCGCTAAGACTGAAAAATAAGTACTCAGATAAAAAATTTCAATCCTTCACTTCAACTTTAAATATATTTTCAAAAAATTTTTATAGGGCATCACAGGTTATACAATTAAAAATACTGCAAATAATTGACTGTTCCGGAAATTAACAAAAAATAGCCATTAAAATTGTAAAGAAATTCTGGTGACTGACGTTTTGATGTTTACCATGGCCAGGATAGAAGATGGGCTTTGAGAAAACACTATTTCTCTGCGTTCATATCTTATTTGGAAATGGTATGAACAAGCATGATTTATACTGAGCTATAAAGTGAGCTACAGAACTGATGACCTGGAAAATTTCTTCTAGCCATAAAATTCTGAAATTGCATACTATCTGGTGATAAAATCTTGACACCACTGAACCAGCTGTAGGCAAGCCATTTGACTTTTCCCTGATTTTCTCATCTATAAAATACAGGGCTGGGACTTCCCTGGTGGCGCAGTGGTTGAGAGTCCGCCTGCCGATGCAGGCGACACGGGTTCGTGCCCCGGTCCGGGAAGATCCCACATGCCGCGGAGCAGCTGGGCCCGTGAGCCATGGCCGCTGAGCCTGCGCATCCGGAGCCTGTGCTCCGCAACGGGAGAGGCCACAACAGTGAGAGGCCCGCGTACCCCAAAAAAAAAAAAAAAAAAAAAACTCTAAAATACAGGGCTGGTTCTTCTTACATGAGGAGATGGGTACTAGGGTCACCTGAGGATGGCTTAAAATACAGATGCCTGCCCAGCTCCAGCTCTAAAGAGCTCTAACCTCTGGGATTACGCTAAGGCATCTGCTCCTGTTACTGTATAACGAACCCTGGATCATTCTGTCTACACTCATACTTAAAGAACCACCACACTAGGTCACGTTTGGGATGCAGCTCTACAGCCCTAAGAGTCATAAAACAGGGCAGTAGGGATGCCATTACTCCAGCTTGACAGGTTTAAGACAAATGAAATCACTGTGTCATTTTCTCCTTCCCTAAAAATTCCCCCGTTCAGAGAAGATGCCAAAACTAAGATTAAGGCTAACGTGCCAATTGGATAAACACTTCAATGGAGATTATTTTTAGCCCAAATTGTCCCAACTATATCCTCAGATATTTAAATAGAACACAACTGCAGGACGATATTCATAGTCATAAAGCTGCTGCTCTGACAGGCCACCCCAAAACATGAGCTGATGTTAAAATGATAGCAGCAACATGCCATTTCTTACTCGAATTATAAAGCTGCCCCCAAGACAAAGGTCACGCCCCCCTCCCCAGCAGAAGCGACGTGTCACGCAGAACACCGTACCTGCAGAGCTGCTAACCGGGGCTGTGGCCCAGGCTTCACTCCAGGGCACCTCCTCCTCTGATTCCTGGACAGCGGGTATGGTGACGTGTGTGCTCCCCTATCGGCCGAGTCATGTGGATTCAATGGGCTCTGTTGGTGCCCAACACCCCCAGAATAATATTGTCAGCTCCCGACTAAAGGGATACAAAACTGGGCTTTCAGAGTAAACCACTTTCCCTCATCTTGCTGGATTTTGTTTGCAGGCCCTCATCCAAGTCCACATGGCTTCAAAGTGACCTCACTCCAGGTTTGTCCCAAACCAACAGTGCCGTTAAGTGTTTTTCCACCAAATGAATATTACTTGGTTGGAAGAGGCCTCCGGGCCCCAAGAGTGTGTTCTACTGTCCAAGACAAGCTGAAAAAGTGGGTCAAGATTTCACAAAAGGACAAGGCAAACGGACAGATGGGCACCGGAAGCCTTTAGTAATGCTCCCATCCTGGTAAATTACATTCACTAGGGGTTCTTTCACATGAGTTATTTGACACTGAATTAGTACCTTAAACAGTCACTGCCCTTTGTCCTGGTGAATCACTGTCCTAGAATTCAACACCTACCAAGAGTCCTAGTCTCCCTCGGCTTTGAGGTTCAAAATTTCGTTTTTCTCCTCTTGCCTTCAGTCATTTCAAAATACAGTCCCCTCAACCATTTTGTTATCAACCTCTTCTGCCTGGAAAATCCAGCATTGTTTCTGCAGCTCAAAGTCATTGCCACCATGTATGCTACTTTGAAATTTTTAAAGAGCTTCCTTTACAGCTGAGAAACTAGGGTCAACTTTTAGCTCTCTTTTCTGTCTTTGATAAAGTAAAACTCCCCAGAGAACCCACACTGATTCAAGAGCCAGGCTGCCTGGGTTCATATGCCACCTCCCTGCTTACTACTCACTTTGTGGTCTCGGGCAGGTGACTTAATTACCTCCCTGTGCCTCAGCTTCCTCATGTTAAAAGTGGGATTATAACTGTACCTACGTCAAAGGACTGTTGTGAGAGTCGAATACGTTTACATGTAAAAGCACATTGTAAGCACTACATCAATGTTAGCTATCATTATTTGCTTTATGTAACTCCAAATTCTCTTATTGTTCCACGTGTGTACACGATGTTTGCCCAACTGAAATACTACCTACTTGAGGACTGGGACCACATTTTGAATATTTCTGATGTTCCCCCCATGGCACCTAATATTCACTCAATAGGTAAAAATAAACCTACTCGGTACAAATTATTATACTGGATGAACAAGGAATTTCTCAAACACAGACCTGTGTAAACATGTATTCCCTGCCCTCGAGTAGCCTGTATTTTGGGTGGGGAAACAAAACACAGGAAATGGTCATGCAACAATATAAAGGCACAAAAGATTAAACGCCAAAGTATGTGGTTTAAACAGCTACCATTCAAAGGGCTCACTGTGAGCTGGGACTCTGGAGAGGGCAAGCCTGCAGTGGCCCTGCCCCTATAGGTGACTTGGATTTCCACAACAGGTGGGAACAGAGAGAGGATTCCAGCATATCTGCTCATTCCACAGATATTTACTGCACACCTTCTGTAGGCCGGCCTCTGTCCTTGGCTCTTGGAATACGGCCATGAGGGACCCAGAAACGGCCCCTGCACCCTGGGACCTAAAAGGGCACTCACTCCACGAGAGAGCCAAGTTCTGAAGTAAGGAAGAAGGGCCTGTCCTCCAACCCGATGAAACACAACATCCCTTAAATGTCTCGTGAACAGGAGCCAATGCTGGCATTACAGTCACTCCGCTTCCAACAATGGCAAACATACAGAAATTAATAACTTTTCATGTACTGTATTCTAAATATCTTCCATTGCTTATGAAGCACATTAAAGAGATATTCTCCATATTTCTGGATACAAATAACATATAAGAGATTTACAGACACACACAGTATTACTGGAACAGTTTTCGTAATAGAGGCTGCGGAGGCTCAGCTGCTCAATCTTGCCCAAATGAAAGCCTATTCATTAAAGCCCTGTGCTTTGTCTCCTCCCGCCCTTTTCCCTTCTTCTTCTACTAGTGGCTGCCCACAGATATCAAATATCTACTAGAAAAATGCCTGAAGATGCATGTGTTGGCAGGAATCAGTTAGTCACGATGGGTGGAAGTGTTAACACATGCATCTTTTTCTGCCTACATCTGTCCCCTCATCTCCTCCCAGAAGAGAACGCCTTCAGGTAAAGGAACCCTCTTATAAATACCGACTGGCAAAGCATTCTCACTCCTTTCTTCTGCGATGATGGACCACTATCTGAAGATGCGTTAAGTCTAATACGCTCTAATCACAAATATGACACATTTCCAAGCGCTTCGCTCATCCTCTGCAGGCCTCTCACCCGATCCTACTCTCCCAAGATGCAAACTGCTGGATCCCACCATCATTCTCGTCATTGTTACGCCCACATAAATTATTACATTGTACCTTTGGAAACACAGAATAAATTTCTTGATTAAGGAAGTCAAAACTACTCAATTAAATCCAGTCAAAAACTTAACTTCTTCATGCACAAAGTACTGGACTCAAATATGTTTAAGACATGTAAAGGCAAACTGAAAAGTAAGGTAGAACCCCTACAACGTAGATTACTTAACATTCTCAACATCTACATACCCATGAAAGTTAGACTCATCAACAAAGTAACAGCCAACTCAGTTTTTTATTTCCTTGGTTTGGTACTGCAAAATCACGTTCCTGTTTGACTGTCATTCGTTAACCCTTAATTAGGAATGTTGCTTAGAAACTATATATGGAAAAAGGGCACCTTTCAGAAGGGACCATTAAGGCTTTCCCAACATTTACTTTTTTCCAACATCCAAGCATAGCCTGTTCATTGGGTGACAATGACATGTAATGGGAACTCTGATAAAGAGACACAGGGCTTTGGAAACTATTGAATACCCCAATAAAGGGACTAATTGCAGTTCTGTGCAAATGCAAAGCCTTCTTCCAACTTGAAAAACACATTAAATTACTCTATGAGTCATTTTATATTGCCCACACCCTTATTTTACAAAAAACAGAAACAGAAGCAATTAATGTACATATTCCGCATTTGGGCACGTTCAAATCAAACTCGTGTACTCAAGTATTTCTAAGCAACCTATGTTTATGCAAAAAGTTATCCGGAAGATTAAATGAGATAAAGCATGTAGACCATTTGGCAAAGGCCTGGCAAGCAATCAGTACTCAACATTGCACATTATTATCGTTCCTAATTTTCCAACTCTGTAATCATACTAAACAGTTACAAATTTATGCACGTGATTATGTATATATAATATATATAAACGAATATGTGTTACTACTAGAAATAAAGCTTTTATGTTATGTACCAAGCAATGCTCTTCATCCAGACAGAGGTGAGTTTAATTTTAACAGAATGATCCACAAAGAAGCAGAGAAAGCTGGCTAAGGGGTAGGATGTTAAACGTTACCTCTAATCTCTGCTTATCAATTAAGGATACAACCTCTACATGGCCTAGTATGAATTATAATCAGCAGTCAGCTGATCCTAGAGAACTCGCTCAAAATGAATAGTTAAGACCTCAAGCACGTGGACAAGTGGCCATTTGTTTGCAAGGCTGTGCCAACCACTGAAATCTGATTACGTCAATACTCATGCTGAAATCCTACATAAATTCATTACTTGTCTCATGCTAGAATTTTGCAAGTCCTTACAAAAATTTTAAATATCCAAAAGTCACTTAAACTGACAAGACTACAGCATCCTGGGCACATCCAGTTTTTAGAACACTTCAATAGCCTCGGCCACGCATCATTTATTATGACAGGGAAAATGCAAAGCCAGTGACAACACGTGCTTTCCTAAGCAAATATTAAAAATAACCCTATGCCCTCATTACGAAAAAGGAAAATCTTCGCGTTTCCAGCTTAATCTCGACCCGGGGCCAATGCACACTCCCACCTCCCACGCCGAGACGCCGCCCGGGCGCGCCGAGGTGTGGCTGAAGGCTGCTCGCGCTCTCGGGAGGACCCGTCCCCTCTCCCCGCGCGCTCGGACGCAGCGCGGCCAGATCCACGTGGACTCCAGGCGACGGCGGCCGGACCCACCGCCGGGGTCGCCGCCCGGGGTCGCGGGGAGGGGCCGGGGGCGGGGCCAGCGCCGCGCCGCGAGGCCGGGAAAGGGAGCCGGGCTGCACTCACGCGCCCGGGGGGCGGCACCGGGGCCGTCGCGGCGTCCCTCCGGTTCGCACACTGAGAGGGGGGCGGGGGGGGGGGGGGGGGGGAAAGACCTGGCTCCTCGTTCCATCCGGAAGCCGCCGGGCCGGCAGGAAATGACGAAGCAGAGGTCGTCCGGTCCGTGCGGTAACCGGCTCCGCGCGTCCGGCCGCGACTGCCGGGGAGAGAGCGCGGAGCAGAGCCGCTGGGCCGCGTGCCGCCTGCAGAGCGAGCGGCGTGAGTCGCCCCGCCCCGCCCCGCCCCTCCATGCGGGGGGAGGGTGAGAGGGAGGGAAGGGAGCCCAAAGGCGCCCCTAGCCCCGCGCCCGGCCGTCCCAGCTCCTCTGCCGCCGCGCCCCAGGCTGGAGGGAACAGTGAGGCCCGCAGCTCCAGAATCGCGGATCGAAAGGCGGAGGCCGCCGCCTGCGCAGCGCAGGGCACCCGGGATGGGGGGATGGGGGGATGGGGGTGTGGAGCGGGCGCGCTTCAGGATCGCACCGCACGCAGCCCGCGGCGGCCGAGCCCTGGCGGCTCCGGCCCCTGCCGCCTGCCGGGGTGGGGGTTACATTGTCTGCCCGCTAGACTGCCCCTCTCTCCGGGACTGGCAAGTCTCACGAGTCTGGGCAGGGCCGGAAGCGCCCACGTTTGGGAGTCCAGCGTGCGACTCGCTAGCCTGGGTGGTTTTGGGCGAGTTGTGTACCCAGCCCCCCACCCCGCGTCGTCTGCCAGGTGGAGCTTTCGTGCCTCCCAGCAGGGTGATGGTAACAATTAAATGCATATGTGGACTGCCCAGCACAGGCCCCTCAGATGTTAATTGCCTTCGTCTTGCTGGTTGAAGGCCTGTGACCTTGTACCCTCCCGCTTCAGCAACCCAAGCCTTTAGCGTTTCAGAGGACTGAGGGAAAACCACATTGATGCGATGGGTTGTGTTGTATGGAGCTCGTAGAAGTGTGAGTGACTCCAATCTGAAATTGTTTCAAAATAGCAAAGCTCTAAGTGAGAGACGAAATGGATACCATTCAGGACATGATGACAAGTGATCCTCAAAACTGAACCACCTAGACACGGCATCGGGAACCCCAAATACGGAAAATAATTTAAAAATGATACAGCCGCTTGATTCCAAGAAGAGTACTAGTTCTCTACTTAAAAGTTTGTCAAACTGAAATCAAGCCCCAGTTGTCACATTTTGCCAACTTTATCTCTGGATAGTTACGTTCAGCTCATCCTAGCAACTCCTTACTGAAATAGCTCAAGCATTAATTTACAGGAAAAATATGTGAAAAAGGTGCAGTTTTCTCAGAAAAGCCCTGAATGACAATCCAAGCACACGGTGGTCTTGCTGAAACATCCATTAACTTGCCAGGAACAAACCACTGTAACGCCCCTGGGCATTGTGCTTTAGACTTAGAGGGAGGCTGTGAGGTGTGCAGTAGCCGCTCAGCAGGTGTGTGTGTGTACACTTGGTTAGACTGTGGCGAGCTGGGTGGGGACCAGTCATAGTTCAGGCCACATGGGAGCTGTGGTCTGTACTATGACTTTGTACAGGACCACTCCTTATTCCTGGCAGTCTTACAAAGGCATGCCATTGGTCATGATGGAGGACCAGGCACAAAAGGCCTACCCCCGGTGCAAGTCTTTCACAACCATACTACTAAAAGTAACTCAAGTGCGTGTCCCCAGAACAGTAGTGTCATTGCGTACCAATCAAGTTGTATAATTCACAGTAAAATTTCACCATTCTTGGTCAGCAGAATTTTAGAATCCTTCTCTAAATATAATGAAAAACTGGCATATTTGTAGGAGGAGGAAGACAGCTCTGTAGGAATACACCATTTATTGAGTGGCACATGAACAGAATTTTGTGGAACACTAAAGCAAGAAATTAATCTGGCTCAGATCCAGTCAGGTGGTAGAAAACACGTAGGAAATACTTTAATAGTGTGTCAGATAAAGGGCACCTGCAAAATGTTTCAGTAGCCATTGTTAAGTCTGCTCCCCTTTTCTTCTCCAATTTGTTAGTAACTCCCAATCCTGAAACCTGCCACCCTCACTGCATGGCCGTGCTGGCCCTTCCGCAGCACCTCAAACCAGACCTCTGAAGTCATCTCTTATGGCCAAAAACAGTCATCGTTATTTTATGTTTTGGCACCAACGAAAATCTAGAAAAAAATGCTAGATTCCATAAATTGTAAAGACAATTATAGTTTCTGATGTTCCAAAAGTTTCCATTCCTAAAGTAGGCTGATTACTTACTATGAATAATGTTACATCCAGAGAAACTCTGGAGTTCAATTTTAAGGAATAAGAATTGAAACTGTGAATAATGCCAAATCCCCCTGCGCCTCCCATTCTCTTAAAAAGAAAAACAAAAATCCATAGCCAATCTCTAATATGTAGGAATTGGGTATGTTTAATGATTTAATATTTAGATCTTGCATCTATAAAGTTTTAAGTTCTGTTTTTATTATTCTCTGTCTAATTTTTAAAAGACCAATCTTTATGCTCATCAGACACCAATAGAAGTTTCAGAGGAATGACTCTTGCCCTCAATGTCTAGAATGTAAGTTAAATGGCCATTCACGATACTCACTTTAATACAGTCTGTCCGCGAACGTCTGACAGAGACTTCAGGTGCCAGAATGGGGCCAACATGCCACCTGGCCTGGGAGCAGACCCCAAGGAAATTTCATTCATTTTATGCAGAGGCAAACTGTAAGAAAGAAAACAGACTCTGCCCTTAATATACACTTATTAAGTTACTGAGCCAAATCTACACTAAAGAACATTTTGGGGACTTCCCTGGTGGCACAGTGGATAAGACTCTGCGCTCCCAGTGCAGGGGGCCTGGGTTCGATCCCTGGTCAGAGAACTAGATCCCACATGCATGCTGCAACTAAGAGTTGGCATGCCACAGCTAAGGGGCCGGTGAGCCGCAACTAAGGAGCCCTGGAGAGGCAACTAAGGAGCCCACTTACCTTAAAAAAAAAAATTTTTTTTTGGAGGCTCACAGGACAGATTGCAAGATATTTCAGTGGAGGAATTTCTGCAATGCCTTCACTGTTGTAGGGTGTCTAGAAAAAATTGCAAAACAATTTCTTGGACATTCCAGATACCTTTTTTCTTGGTATTAGAAAATGGCTATCTTAGTAGAAACTACAGTACAGTTGTCACTGTCATTTGTTCAGTTTTTCTCCTTTTTTTTTTGCGGTACACGGGCCTCTCACTGTTGTGGCCTCTCCCGTTGCGGAGCACAGGCTCCGGATGCGCAGGCTCAGCGGCCATGGCTCACGGGCCTAGCCGCTCCGTGGCATGTGGGATCTTCCCAGACCGGGGCATGAACCCGTGTCCCCTGCATCGGCAGGCGGACTCTCAACCACTACGCCACCAGGGAAGCCCAGTTTTTCTCCTTTTGATAGAGTATCTAAAACAACACTTCTGAATTTCTTTCACATATTAGGTCATTTTACTTAGACTTACCTAGTTTAGATTTAACACAAGAGCAGAACTTTCTCTTTAAGGAAAAATTCAGTGAACTTCCCAAATGCAAATAAGAAACCAGTACTCTTTCCCTTGCTACTTGATATACTTGCTGTTACCATTCATTTTCTGTGGGAATGTCCAAAGAATGCATTTCCTTGAATAGAAGTCACAGCTGTGTAAATAGCAAAATAACTTTTTATCCCATAGCTTCCACAGTGGGCCAGGAGGCCAAAACCAGATAAAGCTCCAGACATTTTCGTTCTCCAGGTGTGTCGGGGGCCTGTGGAAGAGCACAGTTCCGGCTGGCGCACCTCATCCAGACTGCTGTCACGAGTCTAATGCTGTCCTTCTCTCTTAGCGTCCCAGCCAGTTGTGTGGACTCTGTTTTAAGTATTCAGCTGCTCTCATCTGGATGATACTTACAGTTTGGAAACTGTGCAGTGACATTTCAACCCATATCCTTTTAGAAATATGATGTTTAAATCCCAAGTTTGAACCTTTATGTAGGAGCTGTGATGTTTCAAAGTCAGAAATAGGCGAAAACGTGTTCCATGCCTTAGTGATCTAGACCAGGGTTGGCCAACATTTTCTTCACGGGCCAGATGGTAAACATTTTAGGCTTTGAGGGCTGTGAGGCAAAAATGGAAGATGCTCTGCTTAAAATGTATCCGTTTAGAAATGTAAAACCATTCTTGGCTCCTGGGCCATACAAAGGCAGGCAGGGGGCTGGAACTGGCCAGCAGGCCCTCTGTTTGCCAGCCCTTGTCCAGCCGTCACACCATCACTAACTGAAAGAAACCCTGCCCTCTTTGCTGCCTTACAGTCCCATGCCTGGTGGTTACAGAGTGATGGGTGACGAGGACTCTATCGATTACAGCGTTCATGAGGCCTGGAATGAAGCCACCAACGTGTACCTGGTAGTGATCCTTGTCAGCTTTGGGCTCTTCATGTATGCCAAGAGGTAAAGGCTTTAGATTCTCAGGGTTGATAAGAACCCAGGCATTTATAAGTTTTGTAGGTTTGTTTGTTTGATCTAAGTTAAATGCACAAAAATAATTTCATCAGCATTTTTGTTCCTGCTATGAAATCACTTGTCTAGTCGGGTCAGCCCTCACATTACCGGACACCAGGATTTGGCTTGGAAAACCCAGTTGCTCTGAGAGATGGGGATTTAAGTGCAGCTCTTGGCACCCAGACCAGATGCTCTATACTCCTATTCTATCATTTCTGATATAGCTCAGTTTTCTCATTCAGCCAGCTTCACTGTCACCCTTGCATGAGCACATATTTTGGGCCAGTGTCCCTGAAATGCACAAACTCTAACTCCTATGTGTTCAGCAATTCTGTCTTCACAAATTTCAAGCCTTCCCTTCTGTTTCTTGTGCATAATATTGGTATGATCCAATTACTTGTCTGTCCGTCCCCCAAAACTCAGTCCCCTGAGAACAAGGACTTTTATTTAACCTTTGTGTCCCTGATGTGCCACATGGTGTAAATCCTCAATAAATATTTCTTGCTGTGATTCCAGATGCTGTAGCGTAATTCAGCTGTTCTTTTCCACACTCCCTGGCTCCTTTCCTTCAAGTACAGTTAAAAACAAATGCACGGTGAGGGGCGTGCTTTGAAGAGGAAAAACAGCAGTAGTTGGATTGAGCTGCTGCCCGTAGCCATGTGCTCGGTGGCGTCCTCTACCAAGGTCAAAGGCATTAGACAGTTCAGGATAATTAGTCAACCAAGAATAATTGATGCTCGGCCCGGGGAACAGTTCAGACCCACACTTGCCACGGGACCTGCAGGCTCGCCCTTCCCGACCCTGAGACCCCTGAGCTGCTGGCCAGCTGGCCGCCTGGACTCTCGGGGGAGCGGGGCCGAGGGGGTGCAGGTGAGAGGAGGCCTCCACAGAGCATGGGGGAGCCGCTGGCAGGTAACAGCCTTCCCCTAAAAATAGCCACCGTCTCCTCCCCACCCCAATGTTTTAAAGGCAGAGACAGGCTGTTGTTAATTTTAACTAGATGACCCCACTAAGGCCATGCTACTCTATTTAAGAAATGGTTTATTCATTGTTTTTCAAAATTAAGGTCTGCTCACATTCTGTTTATTCTCTGCCCGCAATAACTTATTTTTATTTGCATGACATGAGAGGGAGGGGAAAAATAATCATACTTTTTTTGTCTGAGCATTTTTCCATACAACAGGGCTTTTTTGTGGGGATTGAGGGGAGACGCTTTGTTGTATGAAGTGGGCATGTTCAGCTACTGCCTTTTCTTTCTTATAACCCTGTGACTGTACACGTACAGCTTCATACTTCTAGTGAAAGAAAGAATACTTGAGCCCAGGAAGCATCTCACGGGGACAAAAATAGAAGATGGACTCAGGGCCACTTACGTCCTTTAAATGCAGCTTCTGGTTACTACGATCGTGTGAATGTTACAGTCCTACAGCTATGAATACAAATCTCTTTTCTGCATTGGTTTTGTGTTTTAGAAATAAAAGGAGAATTATGAGGATATTCAGTGTGCCACCTCCAACAGACACTCTGTCAGAGCCCAAATTTTATGACACAATAAGCAAAATTCGGTTAAGACAGCAACTGGAAATGTACTCCGTTTGTAAGTATATCCTGCGCTTAATTACATACGTAAGCATATTTAAAATAGACTCTTTGGGGTTGAGTCTCGTTGGCAAAGGTTATCAGAAATAGCTGATAATGACACAGGGAACTATATTCAATATCCTGTAATAAACCATAATGGAAAAGAATATGAAAAAGAATATATGTATGTATATCTGAATCACTTTGCTCTACACCAGAAACTAACACAACATTGTAAATCAACTATACTTCAATTAAAAAAAAAATTTTTTTTAAGAAAGAACTAGCTGGTAATGAAAACGTAGGGCCTTTTTTAGATGCTCAACACAGTATCAGCAAACCCGGTTTGCCTGAAGTTAGTGTTTCAGGACACTTCACTTATTTGGGGCCCTTCCAAGACCCTGAGAAGAGCCCTAGCAACGTGTTTCACGTTTTGAAAATTTGGCAGAAATTAGATGCCTTAACAGTCGGTGAGGCTCCTGTCTCATCCTTCTCTAATTTCCCTCCTTTGCACTTCCCTCGTGTGCAATGGCGTTGAGGTGGCCAAGAGCATTTGGGGGATCTGGCTGAGGGGACGTTGAGTTGAACCTACTTTAGTTCAGGTTTGAAATTTTGTGCTTATAGAGTTTGCAGTCACTTCTTGACAATTAAATTACTATGTACTGCAGCCATAGCAGTATAGGAACGGCTTCCAGGCCAGAGGTTATTAACATGTCCTGTGGTACTAAACCCTGTGAGTAAGTGGTGGAGAAGAAACAAAGGTTAAAGGGCAAGGAGCCAGGATGAATTGTACATCCAAGCCACAGCCTTTGATGCCACCATTTAAAAAAATGAGGTGTGGTTTCCATGGTGTATCATTAAATGAGAAAAGGCAAGATGTAATTATATATATGCTAGGGTACTGCTCCTTTAAAATCAAATGACCAAAACATCCCTATCTACGTGTAATAAAAATGTTGTATAGAATTTTTTTTTATTGAAGTATAGTTGATTTACAATGTTGTATTAGTTTCAGGTATACAACACAGTGATTCAGATATATATATAGAGATATAGATATATGTTATTTTTCAGATTCTTTTCCCTATAGGTTACCACAAAATATTGAGTATGGTTCCCCGTGCTATACACTTTATATACAGTAGTACACATATGTTAATCCCAACCTCCCAATTCATTCCTCCCCAACTCCTTTGCCCGTTGGCAGCCACAAGTCTGTCCTCTATGTCTGTGGGTCTATTTCCATTTTGTAAGTAAGTTCATTTGTATCCTTTTTTTTTTAACATTCCACATGTAAGTGATATATGGTATTTGTCTTCCTCTGTCTGACTTACTTCACTTAGTACAATGATCTCTAGGTCCATCCATGTTGCTGCAAATGGCATTATTTCATTCTTTCTTATGGCTGAGTAATATTTCATTGTGTGTGTATATATATATATATATATATATATATATATATAAATATATACGTACCTCCTCTTCTTTACCCAGTCATCTGTATAAGGACATTTAGGTTGCTTCCATGTCTTGGCTATTGTAAACAGCACTGTAATGAACATTGGGATGCATGTATCTTTTCAAATTTTAGTTTTCTCTGGATATATGCCCAGGGGTGTGATTGCTGGATCATATGGTAACTCTATTTTTAATTTTTTAAGGAACCTCCATACTGTTTTCCATAGTGGCTGTATCAATTTACCTTCCCACCAACAGTGTAGGAGGGTTCCCTTTTCTCCACACCCTCTCCAGCATTTATTATTTATAGACTTTTTGATGATGTCCATTCTGACCCGTGTGAGATGATACCTCATTGTAGTTTTGATTTGCATTTCTCTAATAAAAATGTTGAGCATCTTTTCACGTGCCTGTATGTCTTCATTGGAGAAATGTCTATTTAGATCATCTGCCCATTTTTTGATTGGGTTGTTTCTAAAAATGTTCTGTATAATTACACAAGCCTGGAGGAAGGCTTGGAAAGATACACATCAGATTATTAACATTCATTACCTTGATGGGAACACTGTGCGACTCGAGGGAAAAGATTGGATATTTTTAAAAGAAAGATAGATGTCTGTGTGTTTGCGGGCTCGCATAGAAAGAAGCAAGAAAGAGTGATCAGCAAGATGTTACTGGTATGTGTCTCGGGTGGGCTGGAATTTCAGGCGAAAAGTAGAAAAACCATATATATATTTTTTACACAAGTAGAACCTCTAGAAATTTCTTCAGCATAAATTTTATCCTGAGAAGTAGTAACAGCAGTTCCTTTGGGGAAAGGAGCTGCAGGACTAATCAGGTGGGAGGAAGGTACACCTTCCCTGTTTCCTCTTTTGTCCCTTTTGCATTCATGTTTTACTAGTTCAGAATAAGAAGTAAAACTGAATGTTACAGAGCAGCAATATTCACAGTAGCCAAAAGATGGAAACAACCCAAGTGTCCTTGACTGATGGATCCACAGAATGTGGTCTATACATGAATAGGATGTTATTCAGCCTTTAAGAGGAAGGAAATCCTTTTTTTTTTTTTGGTTGCATTGAGTTTTCTTTGCTGCACATGGGCTTTCTCTAGTTTCAGTGAGCGGGGGCTACTCTTCGTTGTGGTGTGCAGGCTTCTCATTGCAATGGCTTCTCTTGTCGTGGAGCACGGGCTCAGTAGTTGCAGCACATGGGCTCAGTAGTTGTGGCTCGCAGGCTCTAGAGTGCAGGCTCAGTAGTTGTGGCGCACGGGCTTAGTTGCTCTGTGGCATGTGGGATCTTCCCGGACCAGAGCTCGAACCCATGTCCCCTGCATTGGCAGGCGGATTCTTAACCACTGCGCCACCAGGGAAGTCCCAAGAGGAAGGAAATTCTGACACATGCTACAACATGGATGCACCTTGAAGACATTATGCTTCGTAATTATTTTTATTGTGAAGTGAAAGAAGCCAGTCACAAAAGAACAAATATTGTGTGATTTCTCTTCTGTGTAGCAAATTCACAGAGACAGAAAGCAGAATCGTCACTGGGAGTGGGGGAGGGAGTGGGGAGTTACTGTGTAATGAGGACAAAGGTCAGTGTGGGGCGATCAAAAGAAGGGTGCTGGTGGTGGCAGCACAACAGAGTGAATGTAGTTCATGTCCCTGAACTGTACTCTTAAAAATGGTTAAAATGGCAAGTTTATGTTTTTGTATTTCACCTCAAAAAAATATATCCTTAAGGAAATTTAAGTATTTAAAAAACAAAAACAGGGAACCAGAAGCTCTGTATAGAAAATTATAAGTAAAGAGTTAGGTTTTCATTGATGCCTAGTCAAAACAGAAGTTTGTGGGAGTTCCCTGGTGGCCTAGCGGTTAGGATTCGGTGTTTTCACTGCAGAGGCCCAGGTTCGATCCCTGGTAAGGGAACTAAGATCCCACATGGCTGGAGGCACAGCCAAATACAAAAAACAAACAAAAATCAGAAGTTAGATCCTATCAAAAAATATTCAGTAGTATAGCATATACAATTATAAAGCCAGTGTACAGCTCTTTTTCTTCTTTGATGAGAATGGCATAAAATGAAATGTATCAGGACACCTGTGTGTGTAAGGCATGGTAGTTTTCTGTTGCTGCTGTATTATCACAAAGTCAGTGGCTTAACACAACATAGATCTTACAATTAGAAACTAAAAGTCCTACAGCAGATTCACTGACTAAAATCAAGGTGTTGGCAGAGTTCTGTTTCTTTCTGGATGCTCTAAAGGAGAAGCTGTTTCTTTGCCTTTTCCAGCTTCTAGAAACCACCCATGTTGCTTGCTTTGTGGCTTCATTCGCCCATCCTCAAAGCCAGTAGCACTGCATCTTTCTGACCGTTCTTCCATTTTTATAGTTCCTTCTCTCTCTCAACTCTGCCAGGAAAGGTTCTCTGATTTTCAGGGCCCCTGTGATCAGGTTGGGCCAGATAATCCAGGGTAATCCCCCTTCTCAAGGTCCTTACCTTAAACACATCTTTAAAGTCCCTTCTGCCCCAGAAGGTAACATATTCACAGATTATGGGGATTAGGATGTGGACATCTTTGGAAGCCATTGTTCTTGTAAATAGTGAGTATTTGCACATTTAAAGAGGCCCATCACAGGGACTTCCCTCGTGACACAGTGGTTAAGAATCCGCCTGCGGTGGGGGTGGGGGGCTTCCCTGGTGGTGCAGTGGTTAAGAATCTGCCTGCCAATGCAGGGGACATGGGTTTGAGCCCTGGTCCGGGAAGATCCCACATGCTGCGGAGCAACTAAGCCCGTGTGCCACAGCTACTGAGCCTGCGCTCTGGAGCCCGTGAGCCACAACTACTGAGCCCACGTGCCACAACTACTGAAGCCCGCGTGCCTAGAGCCTGTGCTCCACAAGAAGAGATGTCACTGCAATGAGAAGCCTGCGCACCGCAACAAAGAGTAGCCCCCGCTCGCTGCAACTAGAGAAAGCCTGTGCAGCAACGAAGACCCAACGCAGCCAAAAATAAATTAATTAATTAAAAAACAAAAACAAAGAACCCGCCTGCCAATGCAGGGGACACGGGTTCGAGCCCTGGTCCGGGAAGATCCCACATGCCACAGAGCAACTAAGCCCGTGCGCCACAACTACTGAGCCTGCGCTCTAGAGCCCGTGAGCCACAGCTACTGAGTCCGCGTGCTACAACTTCTGAAGCCGTGTGCCTAGAGCCCGAGCTCTGCAACAAGAGAAGCTACTGCAGTGAAAAGACGGCGCATTGCAACGAAGAGTAGCCCCCACTCGCCGCAACTAGAGAAAGCCCGTGCCCAGCAACTAAGACCCAACAACGAAGACCCAATGCAGCCATAAGTAAATAAATAAATAAATAAATTTATTTAAAAAATAAAGAGTCCCATCACATTGCATCATTCTTAGTGCTGATGATGGCATGCCTAGTCCTGACTTAGTCTGGAAGTTCAAGAGGAAATAGCAAACAAAATTCTTTTCCTTTAAAGAGGACTCCCAAAATTGTAAAGCTTTCGGCCACAATAATCTGGATCCACCCTGAGTATACAAACAAACAGTATTTCTTCCTTGGCTGGTAAAAACTTAATGAAGAGACTGAAAGTTTGAAAGCCAAGCAGTGAATGACATTTGCAAAAACTTTAGCCCTGCACTCTCTCTAGTTTCAGTTTAAGACCTTCAATAAATATTTCTCAGAAGCACAAAAAGAACACAGAATTGCAAGTCTGTTTTTTCTTCTAGTTTATATTAATGACAATGTTCAGTAAATCTCTTAGGCTTCTCATTTAAAATATAGTCAAATTCCTTATGATGTGGACAAAAGCATTATTATTAACTTATCTTGAGGTGGAGATGGGAAATAAGAAAGGACATTACAAAATGTTAATTTAAGTTTAGTAGCTTAATTAGTGTTTACCCTATATTTCAATGCTCTGAATAATCCTGATGTACAAGACAATAATAATAAACATCTGAAAATGGATATCAGCACTGCTGAGAAATTAGAGGATCATGAAGTATAATAAATTTCCTCTAATGAGTAAAAAATTGTTTAATTCTAAGCTAATTCTTTACTGAGAATCATGACTGTGATTTAATGATGTGAGCTCATAATTATTTTGCGATTTTATTAATCGTATCTCCTTTTTTCTTGCTTATTGTTTTGTTTGTTTTTCAATAGCCAGAAAGTATGATTATCAGCAGCCACAGAGCCAGGCTGACAGCGTGCAGCTCTCATTGGAATGAAATCTCAGAAAATGAGCAGCAGGAATGATCGTTGTTCAAGAGTGCAGTCTCCTCGCGCTGCCAAATCATGAGCAGCATTTTTTTTTAACTTCTGTCTCCATAAAATCATTTTATTTGTGACTTTTCCCCAATTTTTTGGTGTGTTTTGTTTCACTTTTTTAAACCTCATCTCCAAATCATTTGTTCCACAAATCAGAAATTCCTTAAAAGGCCTGAACACAGAGAGTCTGCACGTACCTAGGAAGATAGACTATCACCAGAGATGGTGACTGTACCTTGTGAAGACTTTGATCCCTTCAGGATACAATCAGGAAATAAAAACACATCTTTGGAAGCAAGAGTCTGGAGCTGATGCCACTTTGGAACTTTTTTGCCAGCTTAAAAAATAAAAATCTAATCATTGGAATAACTTCCTCTTCGACTGTGTTCTGAGATAAATATAATAAGGATAACAGACTAACGTATGTTCTTATGGCTGTTGTTACCTCTAACCGAATTAACCGTTTTTGCTACTTCAGAATTTGCACAGTAAACTGTCTTTTCTGCGTTGTGAAATTGTGATGCGCACCCCCCTGCTAACTGTAGAAGTTTTCTGTGACTGGAGTTTGTTCCCCTTAATTGTATTCCCAGGAGTTTCTTCCACCAGAAGAATCTTCTTTCGGCCGTGCTGGGGCTATACTGCGGAATACATGGGCACCTCTGACTGGTGTCAGTGGCTTGCTTTGGGGTCATGTGACCATCAGTCTTTAATGTAACTGTATGGTTTCTTAGGCTTTTTTAGCATAATAAGCTTCCCTGCAGACTCTCATATCTTGTACCATTTTTGTACTGTACATTGAAATGTTTTCACCCAGTTTTTCATATTTATTTAAATAAAAGCCGGTTGGGGATAGTGGCACGGAAGTTCAACTGTCCATGTAACTGTCCATAAATTCGTTTTTGAATCAAAACTATAATTTTAAGAGTTAGAGTTAATATTTCAAGCATTATTGCCTTTTCCTTTATAATTATGAAGTAAAGAATATAAATGAAAAGGTTTAGTCCAAATAAAATCATTTCAGGGAAATTGCATTTACTTTTAAAATTTAAATCTTTTCAAATATATATATATATTGTACAAGGTGAATTGCTGACCAAATGAAATAATTATTTCTTAACTCACAGATGAGTTTGAACGCACCGCCTGTATGTAGAATGAATACTCGGACTGAAGGATTGTAAACAGTTACAATTATGGCCTGGGGATAGCAGAGCAGCAAGGGTACACTCTTCTTAAACTTTGCTTTGCTCTCATGTAATCAGGAACGGGGGCGGTTTACCTGCTGTCCCTGATGTGTGGCACAAATCCAGACAAATTACGAAAACCGGCTATCTCAGCTGATTTGTGCAGTGTACCTAAATAAACATCAGTCCCAACGAAATGGACTGTGATGGTTTTTTATTTGCATCCACTAGACAGAGACAGTCACGACTAAAACCTCACAGATCATTTGGTGAGAGTGGAACTCTGGCAAGTGAGAGAGGAAGATTCCTCATTTCTTCTCTAAAGCCCACTGATGGGAGTCACGCCTCCACCAGCAGGATCAACAGCAAGTCCGCCTTTGAAGTTTCTTCTCTGCTTCCACAGCTGAGCTGGGAAAGCAGGGGATGCCCTGCAGCCACACTTCAAAGGGACATCAGTTATTGTCCTGCCTCTGCCCCTGAATCCACCAAGGGTTTGATGGAACTATTTTCTTTGGAAGAAAAAAGGCATGACTAATAAACAGGTCAGTAACACTTGTGTTCTCTGTTTCCTCATTTCTTTCTTTAACTGCATAAGATGCTCCGCGGTAAGCATGGAGGGGCAGCCTCCCTGGGTGCACAGCTGGGCCCAGCCCACTGCTGCAAGGGGCACAGATGCTTGCTAATGACCCCACACCGTTTCAGGTGGAGCTCCTGATAGGATTCAGCAGAAAACGAGATGCAGAGTTTAGGGTGAAATTGCTGTAATGTCGGAAATATATTTAAGTATTGAGTAAAAATAAGAGAGAAAATGGTAATAAAAATAATTTCAGATATTAAGAATAAATGTATCTTAGTACTATATATAAAATAATCAACAAATTTCATATATCACTTATATGTGGAATCTAAAAAAATGATACAAGTGAACTTATTTACAAAACAAACTTACGGTTACCAAAGGGGAAAGGGGTGGGGGAAGGATAAGTTAGGAGTTTGGGTTTAACATATACACACTACTATATATGAAATAGATAACCAACAAGGACCTACTGTATCGCACAGGGAACTCTACTCAATATTCTGTAATAACTTATGTGGGAAAAGAATCTGAAAAAGAATGGATATATGTATATGTAAAACTGAACCGCTTTGCTGTACACCTGAAACTAATACAACATAGTAAATCAACTATACTCCAATATAAAATAAAAACTTTTTAAAAAGAATAAATGTATCTTAGAAAATATAATTAAAGGGAGAAGGGGGATTCCCTGATGGCACGGTGATTAAGAATCCGCCTGCCAATGCAGGGGACACGGGTTCGAGCCCTGGTCCGGAAAGATCCCACATGCTGCGGAGCAACTAAGCCCATGCGCCACAACTACTGAGCCTGCGCTCTAGAGCCCGTGAGCCACAACTACTGAGCCCGCGTGCCACAACTACTGAAGCCCACGCGCCTAGAGCTGTGCTCTGCAACAAGAGAAGCCACCGCAATGAGAAGCCCACGCATCACCACGAAGAGTAGCCCCCGCTCGCCACAACTCGAGAAAGCCTGCGCATAGCAACAAAGACCCAACACAGCCAATAAATAAATAAATAAATAAATAAATTTTATTTTTTAATAAAAGAGAGAGAAGGGACCAAAGCATATTACAGGGAGCCAGGTGATTCGTTCAACACACAGTTACAGAGGACAAACTGGGCTAGCCATATGTCATCCTCTATAGGCTATTTGATTCTAATGACAGAACAGGAATAGGTGCTGGAGAACTGGAATTAAAAAGGACACCTGGCTTATATCCAACCTGTATGCAAAATAGTGAGGCTCATAGCAGAGGGACTGGAGCTTAGTCTTAAACTGTTTCCCACTTGACACCCTAATAAATCCAGAGCCAGACTCACACAAAACTACAAAGCAAGAAACATTTCCCACGCATCTTTTTGTCCCTCTTCAGCCTCCTATCAGTCTCTTTGGGCGAGACAGGTCTTGACTGAGGATTTAAGAGTGGGGATGATGAATTAAGCCAAGAACTAAGGAGGTGGAAGAACGTGGAAACTTCCAGCAGCAGGTCGTCTTTCTTCTATCCTGGACCTCTCGCCCCAAAATAAATGAGTGACCTTTAGCACTGGAGTCTATGCTGACCTTTATTTTATTTAGATATAGTGAAAAGCTAAAGCCATTTATGCAGCATTCCACACCCGAGGTAGCAAGGTGATAAGTCAAAGGGGAAGCCAATCACTGTCTGGGGTTATTGGTAGCCGTTCAGCACCAGATTTGATACTGAAGGACCACTGTGCTTTTCACGTTTTTTATTTTTGATGTTTCTAGTTCCAAAGTTTCTTCTTTTCCAAATCAAGAAATGACAGAGGTGTCACTGTTGCAAGAGAGTGGCTCCATCCCAGGGATTTGTATGAAAAAAATATTTTGACAAATTGCAAGCTAGCTGAAGAAAGTTGGGGCTTTTTAACTGCAACCAATACTGATGTTATTGAACTCAACTGCAAATGCCTTTGGCCTCAGAAATCTGAAAAAAAAAATGCACCACATAAATGTAAAGTATTTATGACATAATAAGTTAATGTATGTTTATTATATTCATTTTGGGGGAAGGGATTGCAAGTGTCTCTGAATAACACTTTATCTTGAGGTTTTAAAAAAGGCCCATTTAAGTTGACTGCAAGCTAGTATAAATCTTATATCTGAAATGCTTTCTAGCACCCAGTACTAGAACAGTAACTAGCCCAAAGTAAATACTTGTAGGTAGTTGCTGAAATAATTAATTCACTGGCAACAATTTACAGAATTGACGTTTAGTTTTTATATTTTAAAAAAGTGTTTGTAGGTTCTGTCTCTGGTAATGGAGGAATAATTGTGTCAGACTAGCTCTCTTCCAGATAATGAGTTCAGAACAAAACATAAAAACAACTATCTGAAGGAAACCATAAGCAGACAAACCAGGAAGAAGATGACGCTTGAAAGAAGGAATGGCACTGGCTGAGATTTGTGTTTATGTGGGTTTCTTGCCTGAGGGCGTTTCTTAGTCCACCGGTTGAGAATAGCTAGAACTCAAGGAGAAAGCTACAGTGAAATTGGTTTGAGGAACAGGGCAGTACTCAGAGCTTCTAGACTGAAAAGTGAAGGGGGACATCACAGAAAGAAGTGAACCCCAGAAGGGGGCACCCCAAAATATAGATGTAAATTCTGCCAAGTCCTTGGCTGATCCCTGAATTACGAATCGACATGAGAGACCCTAAGGAGACTGGCAGAAAACAAACAGCTGAAAGGCTGAAAGAACTAAGCAGGGTATTCAGCTCTTGCCTACCATTGGAGATACAGTTTGAATCCTGCCAAATTAATTACCTGCTAGAACAAAACTCAACACTTTTCAGAGGAAGATAAAAGAATCTAGAGTCTCTAACACTGTATCATCCACAATGCCCAACATACAATAAAAAATTACAGGAATGAGAAGAGCAGGAAAATGTGATCCACAGTCAAGAGAAGAAATGGGACAACGTGGTGCATCAAGAGAAAGAACAGTCAATGTAAAATGACTCCAAGATGACCCAGATGTTGAATCATCAGACAAGGACTTCAAAGTAGCTGTTACAAATATGTTTAGATAAATGAAATACTTTCAGGTAAATGATAATTGAAAGGCTCTATCATCAGCAGATCTGCTGTAAAATAAATACTAAAGGAAGTTCTTTGGGGGAAAAAAAAAAAAGAGAAGTGATAGCAGCTGGAAACTCAAATCTAAGCAAAGTCTAGGCATAATGAATGACCAGTTGGGGAAAGACAATGATGAGCAAGTAGGGGCTCTTATCAAGTGGGAATAAAGAGTATATAGGACTTTTTGTACTATTTTAACCTTCTATAAGCTTGAAATTCCTTTTTTAAGTTATAGAAAAAGTATTTGTCAGTCAATTTCTTAGTCGACCAGAATCTATTTTTTGTATCACACCAATCATTGGCAAAACTGAAAAACAGGCAGTGTGTCTGAAGGTGTCTTGGACAACATTATACTTCTTTCTTCTTTACTTCTTCACACAGTTTCCAATACCCTTCTGTCTATCAAAATCTATTCCAAGAAAGAATCTAAAACACACTTCCACAAAAGTATAAATGACTGATAAAACAGGGTGTTTGTTCTGCATTTTAACAGAGAGAGCCTTCAGCTGGAAAGGAATGAAGTTTTCAGACATTACAGAGAAGTTTAATTTTTAGGCATAAGAGAGCCTTTACGGCCTCTGAAATCATTATGTAAGCAATTAACTAAACTCCACCTATTCATTTGGCTACCACATCCAATTCTGCCCTTCTCCATCATCTTAGTTCAAACTCTAGCAATGAGAATGTCACCTCTTCCCCACCAAAATGATTAAATGCATTGGAATCCCTAAATAAAGAGAGTGATTCTACAGTTTTGTATCTGTTAAAACAGTCAGCTCTGTCTCATCCCAGTGAGGTAGGAAGAGAGATGAGCTTTTGGTTACCATTTTACAAATGAGGAAAAGAGAACAACGGGATTGACTCTTCCAGTCCTGAACTTCTGCAATACTGAGAAATATAAGATTAAATGGGAAGAAATGTCTCCAGGGGCAAACAGAGAGAGGTACGAAGGCAGGTGTATAAAAAGGCAGTTTCTGACAAACATATAGCTTGCTGTCAAGTTTTT